TGCCACAACTAAGACCAACAAAGCAGCCAGATAAATAAATAAATGTTTAAAAAAAGAGAAAATATCTTACAGACTCTCCTGTGGGTGTGTGTGGGAAGGTGGGCAATGATTACACTCTTTTCCCTCAAAGGTAATTTTTTTTTTGCTATGCCCATCGGCATGTGAGATCTTGGTTTAGGGACTAGGAATCGAACCCGTCCCCTGCATCAGAAGTGTGGAGACTTAATCACTGGACCACCAGGGAAGTCCCAGTGATTTTAAACATCAGTTCTTTTTATCTGGGATGTATCTATAAAAGAAAATATCTATTTCTACAAATACAAAATATACAGAATAGGCAAATCCATAGAGATAGAAAATAAATTAGTGGTTGTCAGAGATTCTGGGTTTCTTTTTGAGCTGATGAAAATCTTCTGGAATCAGATTGTGGTGATGGTTGCACAACTCTCTGAATGTACTAAAAACTACTAAATCTTTAAAGAAGAGAATTTTATGGTGTGTGTATTATTAAAAAAAAATTTTTTTTAATTCTATTTTTTTTTTCCCAGAAAATGAAGAGACATTGAGTCTTCATTGACCTCAGGACATTTGCTGAAACTTTTTTTTTTTTTAACAAAGAAGGACCATGTCTGAGCTTAATGCATGATTTTCTTTTTCCCCTAAAGGCAGAGCTAGGGGACAGTCATGAAGACCACACTAAGAATCCCAAAACTATCATCTCAGTCTTGTGTGTCACTCCAAATAACCCTAAATCTGCTAAAAAATCTAGCTCAACACTCTTCTGTATATTGTTTGTAGAAAATAATGTAGGTTTGAGACTCTGAGAAGAGAAAATTTAGGATACTCAGTTCCAATTCTTTGAAAAGATGGAAAACAGTGGGGATCACAGTGCTCTTCCCTTGCGATGGGAAAGTTTTCTTCCAAATGACTCAAGGTTTCCCCCTTGTTATATGCTCCCTCATTCTCATTCACTGAGAGTATCAAGAAGGGGGCCCAGGGCCCTAAGGAGGTAGACCAGAAGCCTGCCTTTGTGTCCCCGAACATGAGGAAAAGGGGTTGAATTTAGGCCAAGAGAGCCACTTCCTGTGTAGAAGGCAAGACCCTGCTGGAAGCAGCTGTCTGCATTCAGAGTTGCAACTTGGGAGGATAATAGTTGAAGGAAGGAAAGCCTGAGTTTTCTAGACGTGGGCTTCTGTTATGAATAAGGGACATTCACATGCATCCTGACAATCATTTATCAAGCCTGATTTCTTTTAGGTAGTTAGCCTGGTTTCTTTTAGGTAGTTATCCAAATATTTTTAGGACAAATGTTCAACATGGGCATGCTGTCATACCACACAGGCACAGATCTGCAGAAAGGCCCACGAGTTGAAACAGATCTTCCTTTCTGTCTTTCCAAGCCAAATAAGGAAATACCACTCATTGGGCCTGATGCAAAGGGCCATAGGCTGGTTGGGAAGCTCTCCTGCTAGTGTGTCTGATCTGAGAGCCAGCATGACAGAGGAACTTTCCTGGGCCAGGCACTCTTTTGAGCATCTTACATGTATCAACTCCACTACTCTTCACAAGCCTATGCCACCGGCAGGATTATTATCCCATTTTAAAGACGAATAGACTGAGGCACAGAGACATTATCATGCCCAGGGTCATACAGCAAGAAGTGGCAGAGCTGGGACTGGACACAGACAGTGCATATTCCTCCTCGCTGCTTCATTCATGTGTTCATGGTGTCACCAGATGTTCCTCTGTGCAGGCTTCAGTGACCCAACAGATCAGCACCCTCTCTTCTCCCCTGGGAAGAGGTGGCTTATGGAACTGCCATTCTTGATTTGACATCGAAAAGCTTAATCACTGAGTACTCACCCCAGTCTCCAAATACTCCACCCAGAGAATCAAGGGAGCCACATTCCAAGGTGGGAATCTATACGTCATTAGTAACAAGCCCCATCAAGCACTGGATCTGTGCAGGCTCTCCTCATCCCTTTGGGCCTTGCCCAGAAAGTAAAACTGGCTTCCATATTATGTGGAGGGCTGGATATCTCCAGGTGAGAGCAGGGTTCTCTTCCTTCAGAGGGCCCAGGGTCTGGAACCTAAGGCTGTCTTTGGGAGCTGGTGGGATAATCCTACGGTAAAAAGCTTCTAAATTTCCTAATAGTGCTGGGATGCAATATCACTGAATATGTGCGCTCAGTCATTTCAGTCATGTCTGACTCTTTGCAACCCCATGGACTATAGCCCGCCAGTCTCCTCTGTCTATGGGATTCTTTAGGCAAGAACACTAGAATGGGTAGCCATGCCCTCCTCCAGGAGATCTTCCTGACCCAGGGACTGAACCCAAGTCTTTTTAAGTTTCTTGCATTGGCAGCCGGGTTCTTTACCCCTAGCACCACCTGGAAAGCCCCAACTGAACTTGAGATGATACGAAAGAAGGTTCTGGGTGTGTTAATGAGGACGGTAGGCACAGGCAACTGTTTTATGTAGGGACTTTCTCAGTGATTCTACAGACTGGGGCATTCTTCCAGCTTGGCTCTGGGCTTACACTAGATGGTCAATTAATACCTGTTGACCTACTTGTCCTAACAAGGCTTGGCTTAATGGAGGTATGTGGCCAAACCACTCACTGTTTCAAGGGCCCTGCTAGTGTTGAGTGGGAGGAGCCCAGGAGCCTGGAGCTCACCACCACAAGCCTCATCAGTGATGGTTCTGCAGCAGCTCTGCCACCTGAGTGGCCTGCCCTGCTACAGGGGGTCATGCTGGCTAAATGTAGCTAGAAAAATAACCCCTCAGTTTGTCACCCACAGGCCATCCCCCAGGAGAACTCCACCAGTCAATGCAACTTCAAAACACAAGAAAAAAATAAAGGAACATCAGATTCTAGTAGAAACGCTGTATTCATTTTGAAGACTGCTATGTTTTAAGGCAAGTGTCACATATTGAAAACAGAGATGAAGAGCATTACAACATGTTAGAGCAGGGGACACATCATCAGACAATGAGAGGGTGGCATGTTCCCCCAGCTGGGTCACCCCCAGTCTGATTCCTCTTTTGGACAGAAAAACGGAGAAACCAGGGAGAGGGGAGCAATCATCATAGGGGTTTTACATGGAAGCACCCTTCCCTAGGCCACGTGCTCCCCACACTGCACTGCCAGGTCCTGGAGAAAGTGTGTGCAGCCCCTGGGTCAGACTGTCCATGTTTTGTGAAATTCACCTTTAGAAACAGGAAAATCAGGATGCCAAAGCCACACAACTTGCAGTTAATTCATCTCTGTCCAAAAATTCAAACTTGTTTGGACTGGAGCTAAAATGCACAAACACACATGTAGATATAGATGCTAAACACATGTATACCCCCCACATGCTACACATATGTGTGTACACACATAGTTACATAGATGTGGAAGAGGGAAAAATAAGATCTAGCAAAGCCTGAAAAATAATGAATGTTCACTTGCAGTCTGGAATCTAGCCCTATGATTATTTCTCCTTTAAAAGCAGAAGGCATCAACAACAAGCCAGAGGGTAAAGGCTTCCGTGTACTGCACTCCTGCTTTACAGGAGTGGCTTAGCTGTTTTAAAGAGGGCTAGAGAGAGCAGGGCCTGCCCACTGGCTGGGTCTTCCCTGTGCCCCTTGGCTATTCCCCAACACTTATGCTCAGGCCCATGCCCCATAATCTTAAAATAGGGGAGCTTCACTGTCTCTGTCCCTCCCCCTATTCGAGCTGTGATGGGACATGCATCATAATGGTGTGCTCCCCTTCTGCAGGGCCTGGGTGATAGCAACAGAGAAAACAGGGGAATGAGCAAGGCTGAAAGTTTGGGAGCTTGAATAATGGCCAGCGTGTGGTGGCAGAAACGTGCCTGGGTCTGGGAGTCACTGGGAGGCCAGGGACCCACAAGTGGTCTGGGAGGTTAATTTACAAAAAGATGAAGGACAGGAAGAGGCTGCATTTGATGCTCACAAGAAACTGCCAAGAGGACAAGTGACATGACAACAGTTGCTCCTGCACACAAAACAAAGCCCTGCTCATAAAAGCTGTCCTCCCTGGGAGAAGGAGCCTCCTGGAGAACTTAGGTATCACTTAGGTAACAGTGAGGAAGGTACGGGGTTAAGTGTTAGCACTTAAAAGCCAAGATGTGAAATGGTCATTTTCCACAAATTCACTCAGTTTGCCTCACCAGATTCCTCTGAGGTAGGTAAAAGGCAGGTGACATCAGCCCCATTTTACTGATGGGGTAAAGTGAGGCCCCAGGACTTGCTGTAGGTCACCCCACACATACACACCAACTACAGCGAAACAGCAGTCTTGTGCCTTTTAGGTCTTCCTTCCCTGCCCCTGGCAACACTGGTTCTCTCTATAAAGCCCCCTCTCCAAGGTTCAACCTGAGTCAGTAGGTATCAGGTAGACCATTTGGCTGATAATTTTAAACTCTGATGTGCTGGAGGAAAGGGAAACCAAGCTTATCCAAATCAGCCAAAGCCAGGACATCTGGCTTCACCCCAGTGAAGGGTGGGTTTGTAGTATTTTTTTTTAAAAATTTGTTTTGCTTTAAGGGAGGGTCTAGTTGGATTGAAATCTATTGCTAAACCAGTCAGGGTCCTGAATGTAATGATCATATCACACCTCCCCAGAGGTGGAGGCCCCTCTGTGGCCTGTTGCCAAATCAGAGTGGAGGTGGTTAAAGCCACAGTGTTGGCAGAGGTCCAGGTCACGAAAGCAGAAAACTTCCCAGGGCTGGGGCCAGATTGGGGACATTAATATTCGTGTGTGTGAGTGTGTGTGTGTGTGTGTGTGTGTGTGAGTGTGTGTCCTTACCCATCGGGCTGCTTCCCTTTCCCCTGCAGGCTTCACTCCCCCTCCTTTCTTTGACCTCAGAATGTACTTGTTTACTTAATGCCGATAACCAGAGACACCAGCAGTGCTAACACCATGGAGTATTTCTAACTTGATGGGCACGCAGCGCCTCCAGCCCAGTGACCCAGAAGCCAGCCACGCCTAGTCAGAGACTCTTAACACCTGAGTCCCAGCTCAGAGAATTCCAGCCAAGGATACGAATTTGGGAAGTTTTCCAATTATTCTGGCTCACAAGGTGACAGATGACTGCCACCCGCCCAGGTCTGTCCAGGAAGTATCCAAATGCTGAACTTTCCTGGGTGCAATGCAATAACATGTGCATCTTCCAAGCTTTAACTGCCAGGTCTCTGTGAGCCTGTAACTCCCCACCCTGGCAGCTCGAGGGTCTGTTTCCAGACAGAGCCGGGGTGCGCACACTTGACCTGTCATGGTCGAGTGTCAGATGTCTGAGTGTCTTGGTCCGGAACCCCAATGTCTGTGCCAAGAAGTAACCGTCAAACCGGTGGCTGGGCCAATGCATTGCTCGGGAGGCGAAAAGTCAGTGAGGGCGGTGCCAGGGCCAGGTGGCCAGACTGATGGGGTGGGCACCCCCGGTGGGTGAGCTGGAAGCCCAGCCCCATCACAGAACCGACTCCTTAGACTCTGGGGTGCTGGCTGCTGGGCCGGCGGGGTTTGGGTGTGTCACCAGGGGCGACGTCTCTTCCTCCGACTTGCAGTTAGGGATGGCCTCCACTTTGACCTCGCTCAGCTCCTGCTCCCCTCTCTTCATCGCCTTCTGATTCAGGTGGTGGAGGATGCCCGCACCCAGGGCATCGCCCTCCACGTTCACCACGGTGGTGGTGCGGTCCCTGCAGGGGGAGAACAGGCAGGCGTTACAGTCGATGCCGCCTGGAGCCACCAGGGGGCGGACGTCACTGCGGGCCGAGGTACCAGGAGGCTGTGATGTGACCCTGAGGGAGAGCAAGCTAAGGGCGTGGGGTGCTGCTTCATGCTAAACTGATTTTCTCCAAATATTTTTCATTCTTATGAAACTAACAGACCCACTCATTGTAGAAAACTTGGGAAGAAGAGAAATATGAAGGAAAAACAAAAGTCACTCCCCCCATCCTCTGCACCCAGGGGTGAACCAGTAGTGACATCTGGATCTGTTTCCTTCCAGAAATCTCCCTATGTGTGCGCTTCATGTGTGAGACACCATCATGTAAAAGTTATAAATAACTGGGATGACGAGGGCTTCCCTGGTGGCTCAGATGGTAAGGAATCTGCCTGCAATGCAGAAGACCTGGATTTGATCCCTGGGTTGGGAAGATCCCCTAGAGAAGGGAATGACAATTCACTCCAGTATTCTTGCCTGGAGAATCCCCGTGGACAGAGGAGCCTGGCAAGCTACAGCCCACGGGGTTGCAAAGAGTCAGACATGACTGAGCAACTAAGTACCCACACACAACTGGGGTGATGGTGCAGATTCAGTCCTGGGTCCACCTTCCCTCCCACTCACCGTTATCCTGTGGGAACCTCCCTCCCCGTCTCACGTCTACACTGCATCTCTATGAACTGTAACCTTCATGTGCTTCCCATGGCTGTTGGCAAATACCATCTCACAGAGAACAGCACTGCCCTTTCCAGAAGCTTTGTCTTCCCAGAGCCCAACAACCAGCACCCCTCCCTGGGGCTCAGAGGAAGTATCATGCGCATTCTGAAGGAGGGAAAATAGGAACTTGCCTGAGGCGCTGGAGAAGCTGAGGGTTGTGGAATCAGAGGTTGTGGGTGGTGGGGGTCTCCCTTGGACAGCTCGCTTGGTGCCAGACCTCCCTCGTCCTGACCAAGCACCCCTTAAATGCCTGCCTTCCCCATGGAGGGGAGCCGGTGAGGAAGGAGGCGTGGCCTCTGACACTGCCCTGGTCCCTCTTACTCACCACCACGGGGACTGAGTCCCTCTGATGTGCTGTCTGAACACTGTGCATCTCCAAAAGCATTTTTCACCCCCAAGGAGCTCAAGGAATTCTGAGAAGTCCCTTCAAGTTTCCGGGGCTTAAAAATAAGGTTGGAACCTAGCACTCCTAACCACGATGGGCAGATCCACCAGCCCAGGGCCAGGTTCTAGTGGTCAGCATCTCCATACCCGGCTCTGACCAGCCTGGCCAGGAGTGTCTTCCCCAGTGCTGCCTGAACGCGCTTCTGTGTGATGTGCATGTGCTAACTCACTCAGTCTCCACTACAGGTCTGCTGTAGGGCTCTGTTCTTGTTCCCTTTTGACAGACTGGCAGACTAAATCACAGACAGTTCATATCACAGAACTAGTAAATGATGTGAACCCAGGCTCCAGGGCTCATTTCTTTTTTTTTTTCAGGGCTCATTTCTTATTCACATGCTCTACCTACTGTCCAACATCAGTTCCTCACTGACCTTCCCTATGATACAGGTATTGTTTGTATCTGAGAAAAGTGTCATGGGACTCAAGGAAGCAACAGTTAGAAACAGTTCTGTGTCTTTACAGGAGTCCTGGTAATGGTTACCCAGATCACAGCTCCTTTCTAACTCCGCCCCTGAGCACAGGCCCAGGCACTTGCATTAGCAGTGCTCATCTTTTCTCCCCTTACAGAAATCACTCCTTGGACATTCCAGGCCAAGGACAATCGATTATTCCCGAAGATTCACTGCTCCAATGGTTATGACCCCTATGCAGCCAACAATCTCCATAGACACTTGGGCCTCTGACTTTCCTGAATGTTCTAAGCAAATTCTCAGTAATGGCATGTTTTAAGTTTCTCTGCATGCCCTGGGCCAGTGCCAAGCTCCTAGGGAGCTCAAAACAGACGTTCTTTTATTCAGTGCCCTTAGGACTTGGTACTTACACAATCCAGTCCACAGCCAGGATCAGGGAGAGGTCATGAGTGGGCAGCCCGATGGCCTCCAGGATAATGGCGATGGTGAGGACCCCTCCAGCGGGCACACCTGCTGCTCCAACACTGGATGCCGTGGCAGTCACTCTAGGGGATGGGACAGCAGGATCAGCCATGAGCCCGGAGCACCGAGGGGACACAGAGACATGCAGAACATGGCAGCCATGGCTTGGAACTGAAAATCACACAACCCTAGTCTGTCGGCTGGACCCTTGAGAGAGGATCCACTTTCTTCAAGTAATGAATTCATGCTGTCCTCATTTACAAATGAGACACCCAAGTCATGGTAAGATTGTATTCATGAAGTTTTTCAAAGGAAATCGCAACAAAAAAAATCTCAAAGCTTAAACCAGGCCTAAAGATGAAGGAAAGAATATAGAACTTACAGAATGGTGAAAATCTGTCCAGCTCTCAGCTCCACGTTGTTGAGCTGGGCAATGAACACTGCAGCCACACACTGGAAGATGGCTGCGCCATCCATGTTCACAGTGGCCCCGATGGGGAGAATGAACCGGCTGATCCTCTTGTCTACACCATTGTTTTCTTCAATGCACTTCATCATAGAGGGAAGGGTTGCCGAGCTGGGAAATGCAAACAACCAAATAAGAGAATAGTCCTTCGTGACCAGGCTAACCTATTACTCAGCTCAGACCCAGGAACAGAACAATTAGCACCATCCTAGGTTATGGCACTCTCCCCTTGAAATAAAAGAAAAATCAGAATTGTTGCAGAGTTTCTGTCATACATGGGGTTTTGTCAATTGCTTTCCCAAAGTGTTCAAAACTGGGCTTTCTAGACTTACGGTATTTTTCACCTGGATACACCTGTTCCAGATTTCCCAAGAACCACACATTGTCTCAGTGCAAAATAATCTCAAGAGAACAAAGAACTATTTACTCTCCTCTCTTGAACATGTTCCCCTCCAAAAAGTAAAAGGCAAACTATGTTTTTTCTTCTAGGCCAAGAAGCAAAAATGACTCTGATAGGACTTCCCTTGTGGTCCAGTGGTTAAGGCTCTGCGCTTCCACTGCAGGGGACGTGAGTTCAATCCCTAGTCAGGGAAGTTCTGCATGCCGTGGGAGTGTGGCCAAAAAAAGAGAAAAATAAATGGCTCTGAAAGTTTGGAAAGAGGAACTGAATCCCAAGATAATGAAGAATAGGACCCGCTCCCTCCAGTGGGTTCTGCAGACTCTGCAGTGTGTGGCTGGCATAGCTGAAATAGGCTGGTTTCTGCCAAAGCCGGAGAAACTTCTCTCCTTCATTCCTCCCACACCACAACCCTGTCACAGACACTGCAGGGCAGGATGGTGGGATACATGCAGTAGGGGGCAAAAACTAAAGGTGTGAATCAAACGATGTGCTGCCATCCTTTGAAAGTGTTCTTTGTATTTGGAAAGCCCAGTGTTTTTCTGGAAGAATATCAGCCATGACAAGGTCCATCTTTCGTGCTAAATTAGATAATCCCACAATATTGTGGACTGCTAGAGAGCTGAGCACACACCCCTCACCAGGATGCCTTATGCCTTGGTCTTATTTCCTAATTCACCCATCCAAAGAGAGAACTGAGCAGGTATCATTCTAGAAGCTTTCCTGCAATGCGTTTTGAGTCAAGTGGTTGTCTCCTTTCACTCAGGCTGAGGTTTAGTTAGGGTGAGGACCCCCAGCTGGGTAAAATTACGATCTAACTGACCTCTAAGAAGCAAGAAGGAGAAGGGAATGAGGCAATCTCTCATTCTGGCAATCCTAAAAATCTACTTCCCTAAGAGCTATGGGGCTGGCAGTGCAAAAAAAATCAGATGAAACCAATTTAGAGTTTTCAAGAAATTAAAATTTGTCAAGATGCTAGTTGTGCATCCACCACGGGCTTCTCTGGTTCCAAGCTCAAGGGCAGCCAAGGGCACCTGAAAACCACTCACCTGGAGCAGGTGGCAAATGCTGTTGCAAACGGTGTGAGGAGGCCCAGGAGGAACCTAAATGGGTTTTTTCTCGTAAAGACAAAATAAATAAGTGGCAGAACAATTCCTCCATGAATAAAATGGCCCAATATAGACGTGAAGATGTATTTCCCCAGGCTGGTCACCAGCATGATGATGTCCTTCATTTCAACAATCTTGCTTCCAACCAGGAACATGATGCCCACGGGTACATACCTAGGATGTGAGCACAGGGCACAGGTAAGCAAGAGTGAGGATGTTGGGGCTGAGAGATGCAGGCCCTTCCTGACATGGGATTTGTGGACTCTCAACTAGGTGGTCTTCATCTCTCCTGGGATGACCCTGAGAAATAGAAAAGGATAGGGGTATGCTGTGCATATTTTATAGGCCATGAAACTGAGTAAAATTAACATGATCATTCATTGTGGGTATGGAGTCAGGACGAGGACCCAGACTTCTTTCCCCTTGGATATTGTATGTTCTTAACAGCTGGATGCTACCAACCACATGGGCTCCCAAGTGAAAGGAACTCTTCGGGATTAAAGCCTCTGCAACTGTGGGCTTGACTTTCAGCTTTGCTCAGGCTTGCTCTGAGAACTCAGAAACACAAAAGACTAACACCTATTAAATTTTGTAGAATTGTTGTGATACAGAATTGAGCCAAAGCTGGGACTTTTGTGAAGTTTCAAAATCTCTGTGGATTGGAAAACATGATTCCGTGGGAAAAAGTCACTAACAATGACCTTCTGGGAACACTCTTGGAGCGTGAAGATTTTTTTTGATGGCTGGGTTGGAGGAAGGAAGGGAGGAAATGAACTATGGGAGCTACAAAGGACAAAAGTCTGTTGTTTTGAGCTTAACTGAGGATGAATTTTAAAAGTATTAAAAAGCAGAAACATTGCTGACAAAGGTCCATCTAGTCAAAGCTATGATTTTTCCAGTAGTCATGTATGGATGTGAGAGCTGGACCATAAAGAAGGCTGATCACGAAAGAATTGGTGCTTTTGAACTGTGGTGTTGGAGAAGACTCTTGAGAGCTCCTTGGACTACAAGGATATCAAACCAGTCAATCCTGAAGGAAATCAGTCCTGAACATTCATTGGAGGGACTGATGCTGAAGCTCCAATACTTTGACCACCTGACGTGAAGAACTGACTCATTGGAGTGACTGGTTTGAACTGGCTCATTGAACTGACTCCCTGATGCTGGGAAAGACTGAAGGCAGGAGGGGAAGGGGACAACAGAGGATGAGATGGTTGGATGGCATCACTGACTTGTTGGACGTGAGTTTGAGTAAGCTCTGGGAGTTAGTGATGGACAGGGAATCCTGGCATGCTGCAGTCCATGGGGTCGCAGAGTTGGACATGACTGAGCGACTGGACTGAGCTGAAGATGAATTTTATAACTATTGACTTTATTTATAAATTTTAATTATATAGATAATAATGTCACACAGTTAAAATTTCAAAAGGTACAACAGGATGAGATCTACCTGCCACCTCTGTCCTCCCAAGTACCAAGTTTCCTTTCCAGGAGAGATAGCCAGTGTCACTGGTTTCTTGAGACTTCTTCCCAGAGGTATTATAAGAAGTATTATTATTTTTAAATGCTATAGTAATACATGAATACATCCTCCTTTCAAAAAATTAAAACATGATAGCTAAGACCAAAATCTTTAGGCCCTGTCCTCAAGCCAGCCCCCTCCTCTGGTAACCAGTCCCACTTCCTATTCTTTTAGATACATGTGTTTAAATCTGCATGTTTTTTTTAAACTCCCTATTATGTCTTTGAGAACTTTTCATATCAATACATAGACATCTACCTCATTCTGGTTTTTTTTTATCATGGTAAAGTATGCATAACATAAAACTGACCATATTAACCATTTTAAGTGTACAGTTTGGTGACATTAAGTATATTCAAAGTATTGTGCAACTACCACCACTGTCCATCTCCAGAACTTTCCATCATCACAAACAGAAACTCTGTATTTAATAAACAATAACCCCATGTTCCCCTCACTGCTGCTTTCAGAGACCACTGTTCTACTTTCAGTCTCTATGATCTTGACTATTCAAGGTACCCTTATAAATGGAATAATACAATTTTAGCCTCTTTGTGTCTGGCTTATTTCACTTGCGGCTTCCCTGGTGGCTGAGACAGTGAACAATCAGCCTGCAATGCAGGAGCCCAGGGTTTGATCCCTGGGTCAGAAAGATCCCCTGAAGGAGAGCATGGCAACTCATTCATGACTTTAACGTTCCTCTACATTGTAGCACTTTGCAGAATGTCATTCCTTCTTAAGGCTGAATAATATTCCATTGTATGCATACCCCACATTTTCCTTATCCATTCAATTTGTCAATGGACATTTGGGTTGATTCCACCTTTATCTCATTCTTTAAAAATAGCATCCTCAGAACTACACTATAGATTATTTGCATTACCCTGCTGATGAGCATTTACATTATTCCCAGGTTTTCATCACCACAGAGAACACTGCAAACAGGCCTCTTTGTGCCCACATGCCTATATTCTCCATGTAGAGACACCATGAGGTGGGGTTACTGAGTCATGGGATGTGTTTTAAAGTTTAGTAGATCCTGACAAACTGTTCTCCAATGTGGCTGTTCTAATTCATGTTCCCAATGGCTTCTAGGAGAATAATCCTTTCCCTGTACCACTGGTTCTCATCCAATGATGATTTTTGCCCCCAGGGGACATTAAGTAATATTTGGAGACAGTTTTGGTTGTCACAGCTTTGGCAGGGGTGCTACTGGCATCTAAGGGCTAGAGGCCAAGGATATGGCAAAATATACTATGGTGCACAAGACAACCCCCAGCAACAAAGAATGTCAATAGTGCTGCTAATAAAGGGTGCACTGTATAGAACAATAGCCAAAATACTGGAAAGACAGCCAGTATTTTATAGTAACCATAAATGGAATATAATCTATAAAGACTTTGAATCACCATGCTGTATACCCGAAACTAATATAACATCATAAATCAACTATTAGTGATCAAGTGAAAGTCACTCAGTCGTGCCCAACTCTTTGCAACCCCATGGACTATTCTTCAGACCAGAATACTGGAGTGGGTAGCTGTTTCCTTCTCCAGGGGATCTTCCCAACCCAGGGATCAAACCCAGGTCTCTTGCATTGCAGGCGGGTTCTTTACCAGTTGAGCCACCAGGGAAGCCCTAAATCAACTATATCTCAATAAAAAAGAAACAGGTTTTTATGTTGAAAGTGGGAAATGCAGAAAAATGAAAATAAAAATTCCTGAAATTCCAAAGGAAAAAAAATACTGCTGCTGTTGAGAAATCTTAACTTCACTCTTATCAGTGCCTGATAGAACCAAGCTTTTCATTTCCCTGATTTCTAATAAGTTGGCCATCCCTTAAAATGTTTATTGGTTTATTGGTCATTCCTCTTCTATGCATTGTCTGCTCATTTCCTTTGTTCATTTTCTAAGAGTTTATTCAGTCTTTTTTTTTCTTTTTCAGTAGTCAGGGCTCTTTATATTAGTTCTTCTCAAACTATCTTTGATGAAAGACTGGTTCATTTCTACCTAGTTGGTCATGGACCAGTATTCTTAGAAAAGACACACACACACAAAAAAAATAGAACAATGATCATGGCTTGGATGCTGAAGAATATGAAACTGCTATAAAAGATTTTTAACACTTACTCTCAAGTTCTCTATTAATTTCACTACAGAAAGATTAACATTTTGTGAACTTGTACCAGTCCTTTCAATCCCAATGCTTTGAGTGTGAGTGTGTTTGTGTGTGTGTGTGTGTGTGTGTGTAGAGACTATATGTAAATATATATCACTTTTTTTCAATAGGTGTCTTGTCTTGTAACTTCATCCAAGGTATCCTTTGCATGCAAACATTTTTATATTCTGGTGGAATCAAATTTAGCAGCTTTTTATGGCTTTTCCTTTCTGTATTTTGTGTCGGAGGACTTTCTCTACCCCTGTATTTTCTTCTAATACTTTCAGAGGACTCCCTTCCCTCCCTCCTCCCTGGACAGTTTAATGCATGGGTTGGCACCATGAGTTTTACTGGAATACAGCCAAGTTCATTCATTTATAAATTGTCTATGACTGTTTTTGTCCTGTGATGGCAGCATTGGCAGTTATGACAGAGACCATATGGCCTGCAAGGTTTGCTGACCATCTACTGAGAAATTATTTCTATGAACAGTACAGGCTAGGCAGGTGCCTGATACTATAGTAGGTAATTAGTGAAGGAAAGAAAGAGCTACTACTGAAGATCCCTCCCACACCTGGGGGAGATCCTTTAACCAGTTGTGTGTGTGTACTTGTATGTTAAGTCATGTCAGACTCTTTCGGGATCCCATGGACTGTAGCCTGCCAAGCTCCTCTGTCCATGGAATTCTCTAGGCAAGAATATTGAAATGGGTTGCCAAGGCCTCCACCAGGGGACCTTCCTGACCCAGAGATTGAACCTGTGTCTCCTGCATTGCAGGCAGATTCTTTACCGCTGAACCACTAGGGAAGCCCCTTTAACCAGTTAAGGCATCCTAAACCCCAGTTCTGGGTGGGATGCACTTTCTGGGCAACAGATATCCCACTGCAGTTAAGACACTCAGCCGGGTCTGCCTTTCCAGATGTCTGCTTCTATAACTAACACGTCACATTGAAGGAATGACTGTAAATTGGTTTCAGATTGAAAACAAATGTCTTCACATAGGAACATCACTTTCCTGCACAGTTTTCTTTAATCCAACCTTTGGGAGGATTTCAGACCAATAAAAACAAGCCAGGGAAAGAACCTGACAGGATGAAAACACTTTTTCCTTTCTGGAAATATTTTTCTCCCCAGAACAACAGCAGTCATACGAAGTGTCATGTTTCTGATGCAGACTCAGACTCTGGAGTTTGGGGCTGAGCAAGAAAACTTGGTTAAACAGGATAAATACTACTAGTGGAGGCTCTGAACTTGGCTTCCCAACCAATCTCAAGCTTTCCTACCAAATTCCAGGCTTCTCTCTTAAAATCAGTCCAGCTGCCATCCCAGTGCCCTCTGAGAGAGAGACAGCCTAGGATATTTAAGGGTTGACAATAAGGAACAAGTTTTGTGCATGAAAAGATAAACTAGCTTCTCAACAACGAGTGGGTAGAAACTAAAACACACAAAGGCTGGCTTCAGTAAAACAGCAGGATCAAGCTTACTGAAGCATTGGCATTGGAATTGGTATGATTTCTGAGAAGTTACTTTGAGAGATCTTGTCAAATTTTTCCTTGTTAGCCAGAAATCAATCTGGTGGTTTTCATTAAACAAGTACCCTTTCATTGCTATTATATAAAGAGACATTCATGTAAAGACCATTCCAAGTTTACCTGTACGTACGGGGTAAAGATGGATTTGTTCTCCATGTCGTAAAATACTATAGTAAGGGGCCCTTCTGAAGCTTTAATCTATTCTTTAAAGAGAAATAAGCCTTATTTTATATGGAATTCATTGCCCCACAAGATGTGGCAAGAATAACGGTGAGAGTCATAGATAAATCATCAATGATAGAACCCAAGGGGTCACTGTGGGTGACGAGGAAGTGACTATTAACCATGGTGCACGCCTATTTCTCTGAGATCCTTCAACCCTTGTGCCAAGACTGGTTGTGGTACATCATCCACAGACAGCACTGCGCCATGTGGCCCCACAGGGGTGACCTAGAACAGCTAAGTGGGGTTCTTTTCTGGATAGCAGGAAAAATGAGAGAGAGAGTGGGTGGTAGGGTGACACTCACCACATAATCCATGACACCAGCACCATGGTCGCCTCATTGAAGGCATTGAAAAAACGAATGAGCTCTTCTCCTTCAGAGCCGAGTTTCTTCAGGGCCACTCCTAATACCAGGGCAAAAAGGACCAATCCTAAAATGTTCATCCCTTCAATTTCGGTGCCAATGGGGATCTGTAGGATCAGAGGGGATACAGGGTCTAAGTTTACAACAGATGAGTGAGGACTAAAGAATGCATTTGCTCAGGTCTCCGTCAGACTGCAATAGTGTGCCCAGAAAGAGGAAAGGCTCATATTTCCTTTAACACTCGGTGATTTCACAGATCAAGGGGCCGGAAACTCAAGGGGAGATGGAGTCTCAGGATTTGGAAAGTCAACAAACAGGATTTTCACCTACTTGTTAACTGTGAAAGCTTTGGAAATGGGCACAGGTTGAAACAGAAAGTATTGAACCTCTCCTCACTGGATGTGCTCAGCTAGAGGCTGGACAATCATTTCAAAGGGTTGCTTTTAAAAGACAGGGCTTCCCTTGTGGCTCAGTTGGTAAAGAGTCTGCCTGCAATGAGGGAGATCTGGGTTCGATCCCTGGGTTGGGAAGATCCCCTGGAGAAGGGAAAGGCTACCCACTCCAGTATTCTGGCCTACAGAATCCCATGGACTGTATAGTCCATGGGGTCGCAAAGAGTCGGACACGACTGAGCGACTTTCGCCTCACTTCACTTTAAAAGACAAGCTGACTGGAGAAAAGGTCCTTCAGATCAAGAGTCAATGATTGTAGGGAATTCCCTGATGGTCTAGTGATTAGGATTCAGTGCTTTCACTGCTGTATGCCCCAGTTCAATCCCTGGTCAGGGAACTAAGATCCCATAAACCTCAAGGGTGTGACCAAAAAAAAAAAGTCAGTGATTCTAACTTTGCCTACTAATTCTTTGTTGCTAGGTTCTTACCATAGTCTCCTCACTGACAAATTCCAAAAATGATGTTCAGAATCAACATGGATATTTTCAGGACATTCCTTCCTAAATCACCAACTTAAAATGCATAAATATAATGTGTTCTTTATTTTTTTCCATCAGTACTGAATCTCACTACTATAAGCATATATGTTAGACAAACATTTTATTCCATCACAACACATTATGAAATTCTCAATAGGAAACATGTCAGTGTGGCAAAAACTGAAAGAGCATTTTTACCATCATTCTAGTCTGAGCTTAGTCCTGGCTGATATTAAAATAACTTCTCTGAGCTTCAGATGTTTCATCTGCAAGATGAAGTGAAAGGGACTAAACGATTAGCTTTCAACTTTTAAAAAAAAAAGTAGAACTTTTCCCATCAATCAAAGACAGCCTGGGGGAACTCAGAGCCACTTAGCCCTGGAGAGGTGTAAGGGGGAATGGGGGGAGGGCAAAGTTCCTCCTTCTTCCCGTGGTAGCTTCACCACTGGGCTAAATAATCCTTGAGGTCCCTCATCCCTTTCAGCTCCAGCATGAAGGCTAGGACTTAGCTCAGTGTCTGGTAAACAACAGGTACTCAAGGGACTTCCCTGGTGGTCTAGCGGTTACTCTGTGCTTCAGCTGCAAGGGACTCAAGTTCAATCCCTGGTCAGGGAACTAAGATTCCCACATGCCTTGTGGTGTGTTCAAATAAAACACACACACACACAACAACAACAACAAAAGAAACAACAGGTACTCAAAAAAATACTTGTGAATGAATGATGGTTATAGCGAGTTAAACCCCTATGACAAATTCTACGTGCAAGGGTAGGTTAGATCACCTGTTATTTATATTTCAGAAAAACAGAAGGGATGTTACACAATTTTTTTTTTAAGAAAGGGGACATTAGTTTCAATTCAATGAAATGGACATCCTAAAGATGGTAAACGGCCCAAAGAGAAACCTAAACTGTGCAATTCAAATCCCAGTCTTCAGTCCTGCTGAGAAAAAGACAAGCATCATGTATGCTCCTTGAGTTCAGAAGCATTATCTGTGTTATAGGATTTGTCGTTAAGTGATCTCACAAAAACCCTTACTTTTTCAATGGTCACGTTTCCAGCGCTTGTGTTGTGGGTCACCTCTCTGTAGTCAGTTGCATACTGTGAGCGAGAGAAAGAGAAAGCCCCGTCAGTTCACAGCTGAAGACCTTCCCCAAGAGGAGTCCAGAGGACTGCTGGGCCTCCTGCTACTTGGCCGTTCTTCCCTCCAGGTCTGCTGGCACTCCTCACTGGCTTGGCTGGACAAGGGCCTCTGAGCACTGTACCAAAGTCACTTAAGCCCAGGGCAACATGCACTCTAGGAGACCGCTGATTATTTAGGAACCCAAGGGAATGGAGAGAATTTCCTCAGTCCCCAGACCCCAGTTTGGAGAAGGTCTGTACAGTTTCAAGCTGATATCTTAAACGGCTGAGAATTCATATTATTTGGAGAAACTTGGTATTCATTCCATAATAGTAAAGTTCATTTTTTTGATGTGTCATTTTATTTTCATTCATTTATTTATGCTCCACTCTGTTCCAAAACTTACTCGAGCTTGACTGCTTTTCAGCATCTGTTTCTAATACGCCTTCAGCCCTCCACTGCTCAAAACAAAGGATGGGGGGGCAGGATGGTGTTTTTTGGCTGAGTCTTCTGGGAGACCTACTCATCAGAGGGGAGCTATCTTTCCAACTCTCGTCCTGTGGTTGACTTCACACACTCTTGCCTGACACACACAGGTGTCTGCCTGCAGCAGTGTGCACTAACGTTCAGGGGACTCTGTTATATGACACCCTTCCTCACCCTTGTAAGGACACGAGGCTTTTGAACTGTTAAAAAGGGGCCCATTAGGCAGTTCAGACCCAGAGGCCTCTGCTTTGAACCTGCCTTTAAAGAGCTCTGGTCTCTCTCAGCTTTGACTTATCAAGCTTTCAGACAGGCAGAGATGACCAGCTGTCCTGTGATTAGGGGTGGCAGGGGATACAAAGCCACCCCACACCTTCCGTGGCAGGCACTGAAAGCCACAACACTTTTCATTTTTCTCTTACCTTCTATCTCACATTATGCATACAGCCACAGTTGTATTTATACCCAGGGTTTTTTGGTTTGTTTTTTTAAAGAGCAAGACTGAGTGGAAACTGAAAAGACGGTGTGTGAAAAAGGCAATCGGTTTAGTCCATCTAATCTAGACCTTTATATTCCTTCTTTGTGTAAAGCTTGGCTCTAGGAACATTACATTCAGGATTGCTAAAGTTAGGGGAAAACTAGAAACAGCCATCCACACGGGACTGATTGAGTAAAATTATGACATATTCATACCACAGCCAATAACTCATGCAGAAGGACATTTACCAACATGAGAAAATGTTCACAGTAAGAGCTGGTTACTGAACAATATGTGTATACATAATAACAATGTATGTAGTATAATTATTTTAAAATCTTGTGTGCATGTGTGTCTGTGTGCAGGTGCACATGCACACATATAGAAAAAACATACCAGAAGGATGTATAACAAAATGTTAATGGGTAGCTCTAGGTAGTGATTATGGGTGATTTTTATTTCCTTCTATTCTTTTGTACTTTAATTTTTTTTTTTGGAAGGAGCATATATTATAGTTATAATCAGAAAAAAAAAGATAAAAATGCATTTTTAAAAAAAATTCCAGGGAATTCCCCTGGCAGTCTAGTGGCTAGGATTTAGCACTTCCACTGCCATGGCCCAGGTTCAATCTCTGGTCTGGGAACTAAGATCCCACAGGCTGTGCAATGCGGCCAAAAAACTTAAAAAGATAAAAAAAAATTAAAATTCTAAAATATTTAAGAGCTCCATAAAATGTAATTTGAGGGTACTAAGTGATGTGAAAAGATGCTGGGATATTTTGGACAATTTTTGGTTTCTTGTTGTTTTGTTTGTTTTCACTCCAGGGGCCCATCTATAAAAATTTAGGCCAATGATACTAAGTGCACACAACCCTCCTTGTTCCACCTTACCTAACTCTATAGCAGTAATTTATATGCTATAAACATATAACACCCAAAGTTTCCTATTTTTAGCTAAGCATCAAGCTTACCGTCCGGAAAGCTGCAACCACAAGATTTGAAGGAAACAGGTTTCTGTTGGAAAAGAAAGCACTTTGTCAGTATCCTTAAAATTTGTCATTCAACATGTTCACTTTCAGATGCTCACACCTGACAGCCTTATATACAGGGTTCCCTCTCTCCCCATGTCCTGCAGTTATTGCCATCTTCTGCTTGATCCAAGCACTCAACTGTGCCTTGGCTAAAGGGTCACAATGGAGACTTTGAAGCACTGATCTCTATCCTCATGTCTCTTGTGGTACCCTTGATATTTAGCTGTGTCCAAGCAAACCAGAATAACTGCATCACTTTCCTTTCCCCTAGTGGCTAGGCCCTAGGGCAGTGGTTCTCAGTGGGAAGTGGTGCTGCCAACTTGTGAAATCCAAGGGAATGCTTTGTTGTTATGATAACTGGGGGCATTCCTGGAACTGGGGGAGTATGTTTGGGCAGAAGTGCCAGATCCCAGCTATTTGTTCTGCTAAGTGTGGCAAAGTCCTGTGTAATAGTTTCAAGGCCCTCATACTTCCCAATGTCCTGTATGACACAAAACTATAGAGGAAAATCTTATTTATAAATCATTTGAGCTTAAAAACTAACTTCAAAGCAAAGTATTTTTTGTGCAGTTTGAATATACACTGAATTTTCTAGGACTGAAACTCCTGTGTAAAATGTGGGATGGTTTTTTTGTTTTGCTTTGTTCAGAATATTTTCAAGAATCATTCACTTTCTGGGAAATCACATCACTAATGAAAAATTATAGGATCTGGGCCCTTAATCACACATGCTAGTAACTGAGTATCAGTCTGAATTTAAAGCTCTCTCATTAATGGTGACTCTAAACTCAGAAGCAAGCACCTACCCATTTTGTTTTAGAGCATTCACATCTTGAAATACATTATTTTTACTATGAATTACTCTCCTTTGGTATTTAACGTTTAAAAACTTTAAGTATACTTTTTAATTTCTATTTTTAAAAATACGTAATAATCTCTTCTACCTATTTATCCCACCCTCCACCATCACCTCTGGCAACCACCAATCTGGTATGTTTTTTATATTACAGTTAGGTCATATTGATGTTTGAGATTATGTGTAGGGTAAATTCTATTTATAGATTTCATTTCAGGATGAAGGAAATTATAGAATTTTGTTATAAAAGGAGAGCAATAGAACTGATCCAGTTACACTAGATTTTGAAACCAAAACCTTGGCAGGCAAATAGTTTTTATTGAGCCTCCTTTGGGACAGATTTTGTACAGATGCTAGACTGATGTTGAAGCTGAAACTCCAATACTTTGGTCACCTGATGTGAAGAGCTCACTTATTTGAAAAGACCCTGATACTGGGAAAGATTGAGGGCAGGAGGAGAAGGGTTTGACAGAGGATGAGATGGTTGGATGCCATCACTGACTGGATGGACATGGTTTGGGTGGACTCCGGGAGTTGGTGATGGACAGAGAGGCCTGGCGTGCTGCAGCTCATGGGGTCACAAAGAGTCAGACATGACTGAGCAACTGAACTGAGAACTGAGTTGTGATAGATGAAAATCCCACTGACAATCCATTTTTCTACTGACTTCCTATAGTAAGTCTGGAGAGTAAAAGCTCATCCTCTACAATCTGTGCCAAAAATCCATTAATTCTTACTTCTGTGAATGAGTAATTCACAGTGTTAGAATCTCTAGGCAACTATTTGCATGTATTCAGTTTCAGAGGTCAGCAGGTCTGACTGCAGCCCAGCTTGTCAAGCAGAGTCTAAGAGGCCTCCTGGTAGTCACATCTTTGTGTAATACCCTCCCCTTGAGTGTGTGTGACATGGTGGGGTGTGGGGGTGGGGACTATGACTTGCTTCTAGTCAGTAGAATGGCACTAGTAGTAAAGACCCCGCCTATAAATGCAGGAGACGCAAGAGTTGTGGGTTCATTCCTTGCATTGGGAAGATCCCCTGGAGGAAGGCATGGCAACCCTCTCCAGTATTCTTGCCTGGAGAATCCCGTGGACCGAGGAATCTGGTGGGCTGCAGTCCATGGGTGGCAAAGAGTCAGACACAAATGAAGTGACTTAGCATGAATACAAGCACAAACAAAATACAGTAAGGGTAATGGGACATCACTCTTGTGATATGGTTACGTAAACTTGTGGATTCTATCTTGCTAGAAGACACTCTTTATTGCTTTCTGGGCTTGCATATTGATGAAACAAGCCGCCATGTTAGAAAGACCCATATGATAAGACACAGAGGACGGTCTCTGGCCAACAGCCAGCTAGGAACAGAGACTCCCAGTGTGAACCTCAAGGAACTGAATTCTGCCAACAACCATGTGTCCTCAGAGGGGAATCCTTCCTCAGTTTAGCCTTCAGAAGAAACCCCGGCTGTGGCCGACACTTTGATTGCAGCCTTGTAAGAGACTCTGAAGCAGAAAACCAAGCTAAGCCATGCTAGGATTCCTGACACTACAGATTCTGTGGGATAATAAATGTGTGACTTTTTTAAGCTGTTAAATGGTGGTAACTTGTTAAACAAGAGATAATACACCCATCAACAGGGTTAATGAGACACAAAAATGACTTTGTTAGGACAGTCAGGCTTCCAAAAGACAGCCAACAGCGAGAGACGGCAACTCAGCATTTCCTCACTTGCTTGTCTATGAAACCTGAATTGCTTTCAACATACTTAAAGAATATAAAAACCACTACAATATTGTAAAGTAATTATCCTCCAACTAATAAAAATAAATGAAAAATAAAATAAAACAATAGGACCCCCCCTCCAAAAAAAAAAATACCTGAAAGTACATGGCTGTATTTAAACAGACAAAATGTGATCTATTGAAATAACCATTGCAAAATGGTGAGCTAAAATTTGATTCTTATTACAAGCATTATTTATTTTAAATTGGAGAAGGAAATGGCAACCCACTCCAGTGTTCTTTCCTGGAGAATCCCAGGGACGGGGGAGCCTGGTGGGCTGCCTTCTCTGGTTGCGCAGGGTGGGACACGACTGAAGCAATTTAGCAGCAGCAGCAGAAACAGACTAGGCATTGGTATTGGTTATTTGTTAATGTATAGATGAAAAGTAACTTATTTTTGCCTATGATTTCCATTACAAAGCACCTTTCTCAGTCTTGTTTGGTATCTCATTTCCATTTGCTATACTAGTTAGAAGCAAAAACAGGCCCTGAGCCAAGGTTTCATCCATTCTACATCCACCACAGTAGTTCTCAGACTGAACTGGTCACCTGCTTCTCTCCCTAAAAGGACAGAGAAGTTAAGGAGAGATCTGGGATAGAAGCCCTCTATCTTCTCCATGGGGAAAGACTTCCCCCACAAACACTTCACATCCTTCAGAAATGAGCTGTATCCTCACTTGGGGTGAGCACAGCCTCTCCCATAGCCTTGAAACACACTCTCTTCCAAGGGTCACAGACCACTTGTTCAAATACTACTATCTGGCCAGCCTGGTGTCTTTAGCAAAAGCAATAACCCAATGCTGCCCCACCCAGAATGGATCCTAACCCACAACTTCTAGACCAATCTGTTTTCAGATAGTCTACAAAATCCAATGGGAATAGATGGGTACATTCAATACTAGTGTCAAAACGGCAACTCCAGCCAAAAGAATCAAATTCCTAAGAAGAACATGATGTGTTCTGGCAGTTTCTTATGAAGTTAAACATACACTTACCATATAACCCAGCATTTCTACTCCTAGACATGAGCTATATGAATAACAGCGTTATTCATAATTGCTCGAAACGGAAATGTCCATTAACTGATGAATGGACAAACAGCATCATGATAAATCCATACAAAGGAATTCCACTTGAAAATAAAAAGGAATCAATCACTAATATACACAACATGGAGAATCTCAACAGCACTGTGCTGAGCAAAAGAAGCCAGACAAAGAAAAGTACATACTGAGTGATTCCATTGCCATGAAACTCTAGAAAAAGCAAAACTAATCCATAGTGATAGAAAGCAAAACTTTCTATCCAAAGCTGCCCGGGGCCAGGGATGAAGTGTGGGAACTGCTGAGAAGGATCATGGAAGACAAAAATGTTCACTGTTTGGATTGTGGTAGTGATTAAGTGGTTTATCTATCTGTCAAAACTTATTGAACTGCACCCCTGAAATGGGTGCATCTTTTGTATGTAAATCATATCTCAAAATTCCTTTAAAAATTAGGACAAAAGATACAGTGCTAACTGCAAAGGAGATCTGACAACCAAAAATCATACGCACATTCAATGGGATGACTGAACTTTTTAGATGACACAACTCAGCTCTCAAATATTAATCCCTTGGGAGGAAACGCCTCGCGGCAATGAGTTGAACCCACTGAATCACTCTCCTTTAGTTCCCCTCATTGCCACAGGCCAGGAGCAGGAGCACTCCCTCCCCCACCTGCCCTCCAAGGGGCAAGGGTGTGAGGCTGCAAGAGTAAGGTTCAGGGGTTAATAGTCAGCTGCCTGTTGCTCTGGCTAAATGAGAAAATCACCATGGGAAAAGAATAAAAGCAAAATACAGCAATACAGCATAACCCAAATAAAAGTACATCGGGTTGATCAGTTGGGGTTGTCATGCCCTGCTAAGCTAAGGAAAAACATAGTGTGGACTTTGGAATGCCGGGTCAGCGCAAGTTCAGAACACTGCTTGTGCACACACTAAGATGTTTTCCCAAGGCATATGCGGGTCTATGACCTCCAGCTAGGTGACAGCCCTTGTACAAGAAAATAATAAATATAGTTTAAAGTAATCAATAAAATGGGAGATGTGACTGGGGACACAGGAGGCTGACTTCATTGTAACACAACAGATACTTTCTGCTTGCCGAGACACTAAATAAAAGTGATGTGGTTCCAAGGAACAGGGCTCTTGACCCAAGGTTCTTGAGTCCCCCGGTTCCATCTTTAAAACTTTAACTCTGTCTCTAGTTTCTTTTTCCCAAACTGTGCGTCGACCACTTTCAATCCTACCTGCTGTGCTGGCCGCAGCAGTAAGACAAAACATTTTTCTCTCCTCTTCATAGATCCT